GTTTAATCTTCAAAACAACCCTGTAACATCATCCCCATTTTACAGATGTGGAAACTAAGACCTAGAGGGTGTTATAAATTTATCTAAGATGACACTGCTTATAAAGTGGCAGAGGTGAGATTTGAAACCAGGTGGCTGGCTCCTGAGCTCACAGTTAAAAGAAAAAAACAAACCTCTCTTTGTTGTAAAACAAGACAAACAGAAAAACACACAGAACAAATGTACGACTTGGTGAGAGGCAAACACGCTTGTAATGATCACGTGAGTAGGTCAAGAAATAGAACTTTAAGCTGACACAGCATTGTAAGTCAACTGTAAAAAATAAAATAAAATAAAAGGCAGTTTGAACAAGTGATTGAAGCGTGAGGAAAAAGGAAAGAAATAGAGCTCTGTCCGACTCCCCAAAAGTCCCTCTCTGTGCCCTTCCAATCACAGCTGCCCCTCCCTCTGTCTAAAAGCAACCACTGTTCAGACTTTTATAGGACTAATTTCTTGGTGTTTCTTTAGGGGTTTTTTCACTCAAGTGCACGTCCCTAGACACTGTCATTCACTCAGGCCCAGTTTTTTAAAAGCATGATAACTTTCAATCTACAAGTCTTCTCCACCCCTTTCTTTTTCTTGTAATCTATCTGTTGAAGAACTTGAGCCCTTTGACCTGTGAAGTTTCTCAGTCTGGGATTTTACTGATGGAATACTCACAGGATGGATGGAATCTCTGTCCTCTGTCCTCTAAACGTCCTCCCAATTGCCCGCTGGATCCAGAGGCGTGGTCAGACTCAGGGTTTTCTCCTTTTGGCCAAACCTCGAGGGGTGTGTTCTTCTATCAAGGACACAGAATGTCTGTTTTTCACTTTTGATCAGAGCCAGGTTCTCAGCTACATTCCTATAGAGATGCTTCCTGGCTGCCCTCAGCTGCCTCCATCTGCCATATGATTTGCTCCTGTCTCCAAAGGTGAGCCTTTTATATAGTCACCAAAATTTCTGTTGCCCGTGGGCCCAGCTCACACTGGAAGGCAGCCCCTCAGAAGTCCCACCTGAGCCTCTCCACCCTCCGAGGTCTGCGGTGTGGTCGGGCCTTGCCTCTCTGACCAGCATCATCTCTGCTCCTCCCTCCAGCCCAGCACACCAGGCAAGTTCCTTTCTGCTTAGTTTCCCAAAAGAGCCACATTCTCCTTTACCTCCTGGCCTTTGCTTCTCCTGTTCCCTCAACCAGAAACCCTCTTCCCCTCACTTCCTCTGACTAAGCACGGGTGATCTTTCAGGTCTTAGCAAATCTGTCCCTTCCACCCCACCCCCACCCCACCAGATTGGGCGGGTGCCTTTTAGTACTGAGGCGGGAAGCCCCATAAAAAGACCGGCAGAACCCCTAGGCAGGGCCGCTGCTCTCCTCCCAGCACCGTCGGGTTCCCTGGCCGGGAAGCTCTATCTCACTTTCTGCCTCTAAAGCGGCTAACTTACACCTAAAATTCTATTGGTTCCCTGAGCTCATTTCTGATTGGTTATTTCCTTCACTCCTAATTGGGTATTACTCTCACTGATTGGTCCCTGTGTAGCACTTCATTTGCATGGAGCTCACTCCTGATTGGTTATTTCTCTCACTCCTGATTGGTCTATTTCTACAAAGCTTGTTCCTGGTTGGTCAACTTCTGTTATACTTTATTTGCATATGATGTTGCAAAGTGTAAAACTGGCAGCCTATAAAAAGAGCTTGAAGCGCTAGCTCCCCTGGGCGAGCTGACGTAATAAACATGAGTTCTCCTACTCTGCGGGTGCTGTTCGGTCTCTCACCCAGATCCAGGTTGCTGCCACAGCTGAGCTGTAACACCGAGCTGTAACATATTTTTTCCACATCAGTATGTTCACTTCTCCCAGGCTTACTTCAGAAGTAACTGGATAAATAGCGTTTGTACTACTGCATTAGGCTTGTCTGATTTCTTATTTGTTTCCTCTGTTAGAATCTGAGCTCCTGGAAGAAAGGGACCCTGGTACAGACTAGGTGTTCAATAAACACTGATTGAATGAATACATGAATGAGTCAATGACTTGGACTTTACAGGTCACAAGGAGGCAAATCTAGGCTCACTTTAAGACCTTACAGACAACGAACACCAGAAGCTAATACAACATTGTAATCGACTATACTTCATTAAAAACAAAAAAAAACCTGAAAAGGCATTGCATGGACAATAGATTGTACCATGAGCTGACATCGAAATGTCTTTAGCTGCCAACATTCTAGTCCCAGAGTGTTTCAAAACACAGACTTTTTTCTTTTGCAAAAATCTCATCTTGCGGGTGGGAAGGGATAGACTGGGATTTCAAAATTGTAGAATAGATAAACAAGATTACACTGTATAGTACAGGGAAATATACACAAAATGTTACGATAACTCACAGAGAAAAAAATGGGACAATGAGTGTGTTTATGTCCATGAATGACTGAAAAATTGTGCTGAACACTGGAATTTGACACAACATTGTAAAGTGATTATAAATCAATAAAAAATGTTAAAAAAAATCTCATCTTGCTCTTTCAATGCAATATGTACACATCACCAGCAGTACATTAAATAAGGAGTACTTACGACTATTGTAAAAAATAAAGAAGACCTGAACAGTGAAAGCCTTTCTAAGATGACACACACCAAGCTTTCCCCCAACCCCCAGCCCCTGGAGGGGAGAAGATTTGGGGGTGCAGTTTGCAGATAGAATTCCTGCCTGAGATAGGGTCCATCTAGGAAAATGAGTCTCAGTTCTTGGAAAGTGTGAGATCAAATAATACATGATCACATGAAAGTAAATATAAATGATCTAATCAGGAATGCTTAAATATAAGACGTGACCAAGGGGAGGAGTTCTGGTTTCAGCATTAGAGAGGCCTCCCTTTGTCCTGAGCAGGTGGCCTCCTCCAAGAAGTAGCCTGGCATCTTCTCAAGTCTTTTATCACAGCCACCACGTCTATGATTTTAGGAGGCCACAATACTGAGGACAGAAAATGTCCTAGCTGACAGTCTAACTCCACCCTCTCCCTGTGGTGCCCCCAGTGGCTCATTCTGTCAGCAGAGAGAGATGTCCACAGAAGCCCCCTTCCTACAGATGGCTCCTCTGGCCCTTCAAGGCCATTGGATTTCAGAAACAGTGCAAGTCTGGGGTCTCTGAGCAGAGCGACGTACAGGAGCAAGCAGGGCTGCAGGCTGGGCACAGAGCCAAGGGCTTAATCTCAGAATTGGATTATTCAAGTGAATTTGGAGCTCCCAGGCCCCCTGGCCTCAGGGACACGAGGATTACCCAGGCCTCTGGCTGGGGGCCCACAGTCCTTCCCTGACAGTCCCCACCAGATCTGAGGACACGGATCCCCCTCTGCCGCAGCACACAGGCAGGGGATTCTCCGCTTACTTCCCGCTTCCAGCCTTTAGCGCACAGCCTCTCCCAGCTACACCTGCCTCCCACGTGTCTGGGATTTATAGCATTGAGGTCCTGGCGGCATCAGCATCCCTGGGAGCTTGTTAGAGATGCAAATTCTCCAAACACTGAATCAGAATCACTGGGGTGGGCCCAGATCTGTGGCTGAACAAATCCAAATAAATCTTCCAGTGTGTGGAGGAGAGGTAATTAGGTTTATTTATTGATCTATCTGTTTATTTATTTAAATGGAGGGACTGAGGATTGAACCCCGAACCTTGTGCCTGCTAAGCACGCACTCTACCACTGAGCTAGACTCTTCCCCCGCCCCTAGGTGATTCTGATGAATGAGTTCAAGTTTGAGAACCGTTGTCTCAGAGTCTATAGGTCCACCCCACATACCTGTCCGATTAGGCTGCAAACCTGTCAAAGATTCTGGGCCACTTCTACCCTCAAACGTCTCCTTTGGGCTACTTCAGCCCTTCACTTATAGAAATGAAGTACAATGATTACAATGGGTCCTGTTTAATAATGCCACATTGCACAGTTCCACGGCCATCATGGGAACAGTGGCCCCTGGAGGTGGACAATGCAATGCCCTGAGAGCGTTTACTGTGGACTTCAGTATACTTTATTGTCCCCTTGTTGCATATGAGGAAACTGAGGTTCAGAGAGGGGAAGTGACTGGCCCCAAGTCACACAGCAAGTAAACCCAGGGCCTAACTACCATCCCCTCCTGTTTCCCACTCAGCAGAGAGGACGGCAGCTGTTTCTCAGTCCATCTCCTCAACTCACACTGGGATTTCCTCCAGGGCAAAAACCTTGTCATCACTTCCTCAGGAAAGCCTGTCCTGACCTCCTCAGAGGAGGCCAGGCCTTATTCTACCCCACCGGAGGTCCCTGCATTTTCCCTTAAAAGCAGGATCACAATCTGTAAGCACATATGGATGTAATTATTTCATGTCTGTCTCCCTGACTAGTGTGAAAGCCCCAGGGCGGCAGGAAGTGAGGCAGACCCAAGCCATAGCCCGTCTCCTTTCCTTAGAGAACCCGACTTTGCTGGGGAAAGCTGTGTACCCAGCGACATTACTCCATGCCCTGGTCTCCCTTTCAATGAAAAGTACCAGCTTCTGAGATGAGCCGGGAAGAGGCTGGGGACCTAATGAGAGCTCCATATTGGAGGCAGGGATGCTCAGCCAGTTCTGGGCGTGCAGCTGTTACTCGGGCAATGTGTCTGTCATCTAACCAGACCTGAGAAGCAGAGACCCCTACAGTGGCCTTTCTCTTGGAAATATTTTTATTGGTTCTGAGATAACAGGTCTGAGGCGAGCCGGGATGGGCACAGAGCTAAGGAGGGCGGCAGAGGCTTTGCCCCGGGTCGGACATGCTGTGTGGGGCCTGCTGGCGGGCTCCCGGGCCCACCCAGCCAGCAGCGGCCGGGTCCATG